TCAGTGGAGCTGGTGGATTCAAGAGTTCCTTAAAGTTCTCTGCCATTCTATTTCGCTGTTCTCAGTGTTGCTGATTACTTTTCCTTCCTTGCTTTTCACTGGTCGTTCTGGTTTACGTGGTTTCCAGCTAGCTTCTGTTGTATCGTACAATTGTCTCATGTTTCCTTCTCTTGCAGCCTTTTCCGCCGTCATTGCCAGATCTTCCACATATTTTCGTTTGTGGGCTTTGATGCTCTTCTTCAATTTCCTGTTCGCTTCTGTGTATTCAGCTTATGCCTTAAATTTATCTGCTCTTGTTCAGCTGACGTTTATTGATGCCTTCCTGTTTCTGCCTTCTTCAGTTTTTTCTGGAGTTTCAACAGAGATCCATTCATTGTGATAGTGTATCTTGTGACCCGGAACCTCATGACATGTTGACGTGATGGCCTACCTAGTCCCTTTCCAATTGTTCTCCAATGTTGCTTCCTCTCCATTCAGTAGATCCTGCAAGGCCAGGAACCTAATGCTGAGGGCTTTCTTGAATTCGTTGAGTTTTACGGTATCCCGAAGAAAGGCTGTATTAAACTGCTGGTGTTTGTTGCCCCGTTATCCATTGTTTCTTGATTGTCAGCTTCATTTCGGCGACCAGCAAATGGTGGCATCTGAGGCTATGTCATCTCCTCTCTTGGTTCTAACGTCCTCTATGGTCCTTCTGAACTTTTTGTTCATACAGATATAGTCCATTTGGTTTTGAGTAGTGTGATGTGGTGAAATCCATTTGGCTTTGTGTATGTGCATGTGTGGGAATACTGTTCCGCCGATGACCAGTTTGTTGAAGGTACATAGGTTTGCAAATCTCTCACCGTTTTCGTTCCCTTTCTCCCAGTCCAAGTCCTCCCATGATGTCCTCATATCCAGTGTTGTCCCATCCAACATTGGCATTTAGTTCTCCCATAAGAATCGTCAAATCCTTTGGTGGAACATTTCTCGACGATTCACTGCAGCCTTTCGTTGAATTGATCTTTATCGTTGTCATTTTAGTCATTGGTAGGTGCATAACATTGGATGACGTTCACTGAAATGTCCTCTTTCTATGTTTTGAAGGATGATTTTCCGTCCATGAGATTCCCATCCTATCAGTGCCTTTTGTGCATGTTTGGACAGCATCAGTGCAACTCCCTGTGTATGTGAAGCAGTCTCCTCTTCATTAACAGAGTATAACAGCAGTTCCCCTGAAGGTAGTGTCAGTTGTCCTACCTGTCTCAAGTGTGTTTCACTGATGCCGAGCACCTCGAGGTTGTATCTTTTCATTTCTGCCGCAACTTGAAATAGTCTTCCAGTCTCCCACAATGTACGAACGTTCCATGTACCTAAAAGAATGATTGCTCTGGTTGTCAGACGAGGCATCGGCCTCATGACTTTCGAAGGAACTCGGCTTCATCACGCGACTTCATAATTCTTGTTCCAACTCCCAGGGCAGAGTTAAAATGGTTCGGATTATTTCTCCTGGTTAGCGTTGTTTTGGCAAGTTAGTTTTAGTTGGTATGGGGGCGCCAACCCCATGTCCAACCCTCCTCCTTTATCGTGGCTTGGGACCGACAGTAGCCCCGAAAGTTCTACTGGCGGAGTTGGAATGAAAAATATTTGACGAATAATATATTCCATGCATTTGTTTTTTTTTTACAACTTGAAACAAAACAAAATGGGTTTCATTTACAAAATCTCATGAGTTTATTGCATTCATTTCAGAAGGATGAAAGTTTACGAACCTATAAAAATAGTGTGAAATATATTTAATTTGCCTTTTTGATCCTTTGCCTTATGACTAATCAAAAACTTTTTTTTCAATATTTGATGAAGAGCTGACTTTTAACTACGATACAGTGAATTTCCGAATTCAGTGACAAATCATTATTATTGTTGTTAGCCTAGTCATATTATCTTGTGCATTCATTTTGAACATCTAGGACCCAATCTTTGCTTATACAGTTAATTGCTTGCTTACTGATACTTTATCTCACTATTTTTAGTGTTTAGTTATTTTTTTATTACCACCTGTATGTTTTTCCCTTATTTGTTAAATCTTCCTCATAATCTTCAAGTGAACAATTATCTATTACACACGGTAACCCTACATCCTTATTTTCCTTCTACTTTCGCGATCATTTAGCGCAAGCCTACTTTCAGGTCCTTGACATGATATAATATTATCATATTTCCCGACAAATTGAGTAACACTATTTCGGACCAGACAGCGCGACATAAACATTCATTCAGGACTCGATCGAAAAAAATTGATACGCCTCAGATCAATCAGTAAGGAAGATTTCTTAATACAATAAATTAATCCCAGCAGTTTATTTGAACTTGAATCAAATATTTTATTTCAAAATATTTCAAAATACCTAATGATGATTAAGTTAATAACTTTTACATTTTTGTTCACCTGAAATTTTCAAACAAACTCTTGATCTGCTTGAAATCTAACACACACACAAGCAACCCTTTAGTAGACTATCCTCCGGTTGTTCGAAATAAATACACGAGATAATGTGACTAGGGTGCTCGCCTGAAGGAACCAAACCCAGGACCCTCGGTTTTGCGCGTGAACACTTAAACGTCAGACCACTGAGCTGGCAATCAGTGGTGCTAATGTCTAACATTAATTAACTATGCTGCTTCACAGCCCTCACCCATTCATTGCCTGATGCTGATAATTGTTTCGAACCCGAAATAGATTGAATTTGACTGGTCGTAGCTCCTCATTAGAATTTCAGGAAGGCACCTTGAAACTAGTCACTAGTGAGCACATAATTATCAATAGTAAAGAGGATTTCTGCAGAATAAATTATTTTCATGGTTAAAATCAAAAGCTTATCTCAGCTAGATCACCAGTGAAGTCCTGGACAGCCGTTTCATATTAGTATGAGATTCCTCACCTTCAGGAATTCACAATTTCGGTACGCGGGGATCGAACCTGGATCGTACCTCTACATAATATTCATTCATCCCTGCCTATAATGTTCCCGGTTCAGTGTCAATAGCAAGGCAATCCGTACAGGATGTGAGCATGTCAGAAAGGAGTGATCGGTTACCGTTTTTTCATACCAACAATGAAATGTCAAACACAATTCTCAAGAATAGATTAATGATTAACACTCATTGTTTGTTGAACATCAAATCTCTGTTTTCAAGTTTTTTTTGTTATCCATTTTAAAAGTACTAAATTATGTACTTTATTTATTCAATCTTGTTTACTCTATCTTACACACACACGCACACACACACATAAACAGAGAGAGAGAGACACACACACAACTGTACAACCAACCCATTTATGTTTATATTATCTTTGTCATTTATCGCCTATTGTATAGTTTTCTCTTTTTCGAGTAAACAACATTATCTTTCCAAACAATTTTCGCAATTATTAACAATAATAATAATAATAAGCATGACAATGTTTACTTCTCTCTATAACACTATTATGAGCCTAGATGTGTTGAGATGAAAGAAATGTTCAACTACATATATATATTCAATATAATCTTCTTATATGTAGTAAATTTACATAAATCTATCTTCATTAAATGATCTTCAAAATGAGAGAATTACCGCTAGTTGTTGTTGTTGATCTTGAATTGCCTCTTTCCTGCTTTCTTTAATATTCTATGTGTCTCTTTCCTTTGTTATAATACTATTTCTTTAGTCACATTAGTAATAATTTTGAATGAATGAGTGAGCTTTTGTGTTCAATGAAGGTTGTTTTTGCATTAGAAATGTAAACAATAACTAACTAACCAATATAACTATGGTAACCATCATTTTTCTTCACCATTAAATGATCTTATATTCAATATTTATAAATTGTTTTCATTACTTACTACACATTTACATAATTGCATTATTTAGATTTTTTTCTTATTCTTATTATTCATTGTTTGTTGTTGTACAATTGTAGTTCAATTTTTTTATTTCATTAAATATAATAACGACATTCAATTTACATTCTAAACAAAAAAAAATTCCACATTTTTTGCTTTTTTAATTCAAGCTTATAAAACATACAATAATAATTACTGTAAACTACTTCTTGTAAGGGTGTGTTATTCTATTTGATGATTAAGAATTGTAAATGATCAATTGGTGTGTATATGGTGGGCATTGTGAGCACACTAACTAAATCGATATCTACAGTTCATTTGCGAGATTTTCGCTATAAATTGAATGGGATCTCTTTGTTAGATAACATCACTGAGATGTAAATAAATCCGTATCACGAATAAAATACTTATATCGAGACAATTTACTTAGAATGTACATATGGCGAAAGAGACTGATCAATTAGCAGTCCTTGATATCGAAATAGAGAAAACGGCAAACTCTGTAGAAATATTATTTCTTAGTAGTTGGTGAATTTGTCTGCTTGTCTATCCTTCTTTGACAGAATGAAAAAATATTGTATTCAGATTTACATTCAACTATAAAATTTATTTACTTCAATATTTTATTTGCTATGTAGTTGGAATGAGCAAAACAGTAAAGGTGGAACAAGTCGAGCAATTTTACAAACTTTTTAAAACAAAAACAGTAATAGACAATCAATGAAAAACAAACATTTGACAATCTTATTTCTAAATTTGAGAATTAAAGAAGTATACGCTGAAGTATTTTATATTGACAATCATACTCTGTAACCATATATATATATATATATATATATATATATATATATATATATATATATATATATATATATATATATATATATATATATATATATATATATATATATGAGATCGAATGAAACGAATACAAAGGGCGAGTTTAGATACATGTACCTTTATTCCACATACTATTTCAAAGTCGGGTTGTAAGCGTGTAATCATAAATGCGATCTACTGTTGAAATAAACCGAGAATGCTGCTGGCTTAAGTTTGAGCCTGCATATTCTTATCTGGATCATTAGTCAGTCAAAAAATCAAATTCAGTTACTGATAAAATGGATAGTTCGTCCAATCAATTTAGACTTTGATTTGTTCTAAAAAATTTCCAACAACTGATATTTATTTCTTTATCATTAAAATGTCCAGTTGAAAAATTCAGAAAAACATTATGATTGCCCAGAAACACTGAAAAATTAGGTGTGAAGTTACCCATAAATTTTTCAGTACTCATTAAATGTGGCGTATCAAGCGTTTTTGGTCATTTCTCTGTTAGTATGACGAATGAGTGCTATACATATGACTGACTCAGTAATCAACACTCGGTTCATGAATAGAAAATGAAAGTCTCAATGCAGTTAATATCTTTTCACCTCTTTTAGATAATACATCTTAATATCTTTTCAAATAACTGACAAACTATGCACATGTGTGCGTTATGAAATAAATAATCAATATTAAGAAATTATTAAAGTTCTGTTTTGTGTCCACATATCTTGATTGTATGTTTTTATTTTTATTTTTTTTTATTTTTCAGATTGGATAGACAACAAATTCGAAAATTAACTTATCAATTATTACAAGCTGTGAATTTCTGTCATGCACATAATGTATGACAAATTTTAGTAATTTTCGTTTATAGAGTTGTGGCGATTGTTGATTTTTCTTTGAAATTATGGAACCGATTAATATTAGATCACTCACTATTAGAAACCTGGAAGCATTGAACGACTGTTTTGTTCGAGTATGGTGCACATCAGCATTGCACATTCATGACTCCTACTCTCGGGACTCGTACTCAGGCCGGCTAACTGGTCCATAGGTTAGGCCTTTAGGCGCAAAACCAAGGCTCCTGGGCTCCATTACCGCTAGCGGGAGTCGTGAATGCGCACTGCCGATAAGTCCCATGGCAGCACAAAATGACCGTCCAGTGCTTCCAGGTTTCTAACAGCGGTCTAACGCTGATAATGAGATCTTGACCAAAAGAATATAATTTCATTGATGAATATTGTTTTTGTAGATTTCTAAATTGCAATAAAATTTAACTAAATTTTTGACCAATACATTGAACTGAACCAGTTAGTTGATTGAGTGAGATTGATAAGACTAATTATGTTGAAAGTGGCATACTTACTCACATCAATGAAACTGAACGAATGTTAATTTATATAGAGAATGGTTTGTAGCAACAACAACAATATCCACTTTGTATTCCGACTCAATTTTAAGAAAGATTATGTTGTTCTTGTCATGATAACCCAAGGTTTATCATTCGATATATGTGGTTTTTTTGAGTGAGTGAATATTTTTTTGACATAAGCAAGAACTCCTCAGCAGTGCGCATCCACGACTCCTGCACCCCGCAGGATTCGAACCCAGGACCTTCGGTATTGTGCGCGAACGCCGTCCAGTGCTTCCAGGTTTCTAACGGTGGTCTAACAATGATGATTGATTAATGATTTCAAATGTGTAAAAACGCAAACCTCCAAAACTGTGCCCCAATATAATGATTTCAAATGTATAAACAAGAACAAAGTTTTGGAGGTTTTGTGTTTTTACACATTTGAAATGATCAATCAATGATTGTTAGACCAACATTAGAAAGCTGGAAGCACTGGACGGCCGTTTCGTCCTGGTATGGGATTCATCAGCAGTGCGCATCCACGACTCCTGCACCTCGCAGGATTCGAACCCGGGACCTTCGGTATTGTGCGCGAACGCCTAACCATCGGACCACTGGGCCGGCATCCAACGGTGTTAATGTCTAACTCTGATTGATCTACGGATGTTTGCGCGACCTCACCCATTTGTCTTTGGTAGTTACTGCCTACACCCTACAGGGTTCAACTCCATTAGTCACGTCTTCTCAACTGGAACTCCGAGAATTTCCTCACCAAGCTAGTCACCAGTGAGCACTGTTACGATATTTTCGGGCAGAGCTTTGGAGGTTTTGTATTTTTACACATTTGAAATCATCAAACAATAACGCAAAATCTTATTCCCAATCATTCAGTAGATGAATTTTATAGTCAATCTGTTCTGTACTTGTAAACTAATCAATTTCCAGTGGATGACTTTTCACGGTTCAGGGTGATATTTAAAAATTAATTTCAGTTAACTATAATTCATAGGTATCTTTACGAAAAATACATTTATGAAGTATTAGAAACATTTAGGAAATTGACAGGCAAATGCGTTTTGTATCAGCTTAGAATAGAAGCAATGTTGTATATGTACCTGTGAGATGGTAGCTCATTATGATACAACGTGAATCAATATGGGGTGGTTATTTGTCAATAGTTCGCTCTTTATTGGTGCGATGAGTATATATATATATATATATTCATTAGTGTACAAGAAGGATGCCTAAAGAATTTAGGTGTATCGACAAATAATGACGGATATACTCCTTATATTATTATTATCCCATGATATCAGTTAAACGATCTAACAACGAGTCTGTATATATAAAATAATGAGGCGACTGTGTGAACTTATTTACTATCTTACACTCTCATATAAATAAAATTCAATATCAGAAACAATTTTATTTCAAAGTTTCAAGATTGGCGTAAAAATATTGATGATTCATAAGCTTTAAATGTTTCGCAGAAATTTCACAATTTTTTGACTCTTTTTAATCAGGAATTTAGATATTACTAACAAGTGTATTTTATTGATTAACAATGAGTATTAAATAATTTCAAAGTCGTTTTAAAAAAACTGTTGAAATTCAATAGTACCAATGTAGTGAAGGAGAACACAGGTGGGGTAACCGAATTGTATCTAACGAAAATTACAGAGTTACTCAGTAAAATCGGAAAACCATATCGTAAATTGTTCATTTGCAAAATATCAGTTCATCCTATCGAACTGGACTGTTCCTGTTGCCAAACATCAATCCATTGTCACTATTCATGCGTTTCATACAAATTCCATTGTTTTCTAACTCTTCCTTTCTTGATCTTCCCCCATCTTCTGCTGCCAGACATTACGTTTACACTCACGTCATATACTACTTATAAGTAGCTCACACCACACCAACATGGTTACATTGATTAATAATGTAACATTTCAATCAAAAAAATATTAAACTAAGTTGATCTACTGCATAACAGATTTTCATCGATATTATTCAATGAAGATTATGCTTTGTATCAAATAAACATATTTTTCAGTTGCACGTGTTATACTACTCAACATTTTTCTGCTTTGTATACTACTTACATTACAGTGTTGATATTTGAACACAGACTTGAACCTAATAAATTTACGCTTCTAACATCATTCGTTAACCAATGAGTTACTGATACTTGAAAAGTCTTAACTATCTTTCACAAAAAGTTATTACCGTTTAATATTTTTAGTTTTATATTCACATCTACAAATTTATTAATTTTATAATTATTTTTATATTTCAGTGTATTCATCGTGATGTTAAACCAGAGAATATACTGATTACAAAATCTGGTCAATTAAAATTATGTGATTTTGGTTTTGCAAGATTATTAAGTAAGTTTAATTTATTTAAATTCATAGGTTATGCATATTCATAATCATAGGATAATCATATCCATAGAATAGATAGAATATGGCTAACATTGGAATCCGTAACTTGTGTTTCAACCTATTAAGGACTGTTCCAGCTGGATGCAATTACATCTCAAGGTTTTGTTCATTCCGTTGCACAAGTTAATAGCTATCTGGATAACGTGATGGCCTTTGAAGAAAACGGTAATGGGTTCGAGTTTCGGAGTAAACATCAACTCTGAGACGCAAGCACACCCAACTGACAAGACCTAAACAGGATGCGACGCGCGTCTCGGATTCCACTGCTAAGGATATTCTATCTGCTTTATATAAAATTTTATCGTAATGACTCTCTCTGTTGAGGCGAGGATGCCCGTATATTAACGAAATTTGAGACGAAATATCAACAATTGAATTAATGTATTAACTTGTTCTAAAACCAACTCATTATTAATCTTGATGAAAGTAAAATACAGAGCAATCAGTCTGTTTTTTATAAATTTACATTACTCTAACGAAAGTGAAATGATTGATTTTAAAAGAAAATTATATCAATAGTCATTGATATGTTGTCCAACCACCAACCAGTGTGCCTAGACGACTTTTGAGCAACCAATACACAACAAGGACGATAGAAATGATACTCTATGCTGAACAGTTTGACCCAGCAATAACTAGTTGTGAACACAGAGGAATAACACTAAACTAATAATCACCACCAGTCTAAAATCAAGGTAGTCAGATATTCATTTATATACAGACAAAACTAGAGCACCTACACACACACCAATAAATGAGAAATTACGACTATATATGAATGAGTCATAAAAGGCTGTGATTAGGGGTGACTGTAAATTAAAAAATTGAAAACAAGATAGGAATAGTAAACCACATGATGATAGTTCATGGGTTAATAGAAAGCAAAAAGTTTGATCAAGCTAGACTCTTTTTATGACAACTGGTCGTATTCCTGGTCACTTGAATCTAGATTTCAGACATTGGATTCGAACCGATGAACTATTGATTTTAGTTAATTACACAAAACGGTATCATACAGAAGAAAGAGAGAATAAAAGTAAGTAATGTTCCTATGATCATACAAAAAAATGCATCCATAGATAACGCCGCTTCAGAAACACTGATATTGAGTAATGTTAGTTAACACAGCTCCGATTCTTTTTTATTCTAAATAGTCTTGTGTCAGGAACATTAAGGTTTTTTTAATGAATTAGAACTAAATATGTTAATTTGTTTTTAATTACTGCAGTTTGATTGCATGATATTAATAGTTTTTAATCCTTTTAGGTGTAAAGTGACAGTTGGAGGCAATCAACAAGGAACTCTGAAAGTAGATTTTGTGCTGTTAAGCACTTGTTAGCAACTTGTACTTTCTGGCAGATTTATTCCCTTTCTGACGAGTACCGAAAAATACAAAACCTAGACCAATCAGAGTTTCATGTTGAATACCTCCAACCACGCGATGTTGAGTCACTTAGTCGAATGATGACAACGTTGCAGCTTGATAGACAGAATTCACTTAGAAAGATTTAATATACCTAATTTTAATAACCTTATTCAGTGATTAATCAATTGTAAAGATTTTAGTCTATCTTTCCAAATAACTAGTTTAAATTTCATTTATCCTAAGCTTAATTTGTGTACAGTGATTTGGATTGTACGTGAATACTTTTCAGATAATTTTTATCACAGATTAAAATCAATTCCAAAAAAAGTTAGAAACATTTACATTGTTAGAGAGAGATGTTTTCATAAATTCCTAGTGATTAATTTTGATGTTAAAAGAACTAACTAACTAAATTATAAAATGGAAAGAAATATCTACTTGGAAAATTACATAATATAGATATGATATATCATAAATTAAGTAAAGTTAGACTAATGATTTACAAATCGTTGTACCAGTTAGTCAGTCGTAAACAACATCAATCAACCTGACACATGTGTACATCACACCACATCAGTACAGTAAGATGAAATTATCAAGACAAATTATAGAGTGCTAAAAGTAGCAACAGCGTCTATAGAAGAAAAACAACATTAGGCACAGACAAGATTGGTTGAAGTTAGCTATTAACACTACTGTACATCAAACGAGTAGTCTAAAGTTTAGGCGTTCACACGCTAGACAGGCAGTCTTGGGTTCGACTCCAGCGTTCGAAGGTCATGGATGCGCACTGATGAGGGGTCTAATATTAGGAAAAAAACGGTGATCTCTAGCACTTCCACCCTCCTGTAGTTAGTGGTTTAGCTAAGATCCGTTCGTGACTTCATCTATAAAAACAGACAAGATAATTTAAGACCTCAAGACAGGTTTTAATCCATGTTACCCTAATGTCACGAACTATTAATCACAATAATCACGTTGAAATCCTTCCGTCAGTAGACACCTGTTATTCTCGCCCAATCTAGTGGTGTAACATGACATTATATTCACCAGAAAATGTGAATGTTCATCAAAATTCTTTTATGATATTTACCGACTTTCTAGTCAATTTTCATTCATGTTGAAAATTGTCTTCGAAGTTGACAACAATTCTCATAAATCGCCTAAAATAGACATGATTGATTTGAAATATTATTTTTTTTCATTTAGAATACTCACAGTAATTGTTTTTTTCCAATAATCAATAGACATCAGTGCAAATTTAAAGAATCATTCATTTTACGGAAGACACAGTGAATATTTGAATTTATTTCAATCGATCATTGTCTTGTCTAGTTAATAATTAATATTGTTTCCCCACTGAAAGCTTAAAAATGACAATCCATACTAGCTTGCAAGGATCGATTTATTACACTCGTCCTAATCATGAGATAATCTTTTTTGAAATCAATAAATTTTTTCATTGTTGTTTGTCTCTTCCGCTGAATTATATCATTTGTAAAAATTTCGATTTTTATTCATTAATTGATCGATTATGTGATCGCTCTATTTTCTACTTTTGTTTTTATCACCGTTTTATTGATTTATTTGTGTGTAGGAAAAATTTTCTTTCGTCACCTTACTTATACTAGAAATTTACCGGCTTTGTTCTTCTAAATAGCACAAACTGATCAATAATCGTTTATGTTCAATTAATAAATTTAGATAATGTCAATAAGATGAAGATTATTAGAACTATGTGCTATATATAAATATATATATGCGCATAAATATCGGCGCTAAGCGTTTCAAACACACAATCTCATCATATTGATGATACTTAGTCAAAATATTTACATATATATAGCAAATTAAATAAGGTCAACTAGACAAACTTGAAAGAGCAGAGAAGAGAAGAATAGCACATAGATTACAAAGAAAACAATGTGAATCACACCATAATAATAAATTAAATATTGCTCATAGGAAGATTATTGATATTGTTTGTATGCAGCTAAATAGTATCGAATAATTTGCCATTGTTATTTCTTTTTACAACTAAATAACAACTCCTCATAGTAGTTATTGCATTGACAATTTGATATGGATAATTTTTGATAGTGTGAATGCTGCGACAAGAAATAGTCTTTTAGGAACACTGGTAGCTAATGTATTTATGGCATACATGGAAAGTTCAGTTGAAGACTTGATTTAATAAATGCGTTTCTATACGCGGTACGTGCATGGTATTAGAGTCATAAGTGATAGACGTAAAGATACGAACAGCTGGTTACAACAAATCAACACATTTCAAAAGTATATTTGTCCTACATTTGAAGAAGAGGTGAAAAGCTAGTTTACTTCCCGAGACATACTAAGTTTAGTTATGTGGAACGCCTATTTGGACAGGGCAATATCTTAGTTTTCATAGTCAATGGCCGGTCAAGTAACCGTAAGACCATTTATATGTGCACTAGTAATACTACTAACGGAGATGTGAAACTCTTAACTGAAATATCAGTGAAGAATGGTTATCCATTAAAGCTGAAAACCGATCGAGAAGTATCAATGTAATAATGTTTTCTACGCTATTGAATTCTAAGGATGTGTCTATCAGTTTACGTGCATGTGTGGACATACCCACGTAGGAATAAGCGACTTTAGTCTGAAAGAAAGCGTCCCTGAACACACCTAAATAAGAACACAGAAAGTATAAACATCTTCCTCTATTGTGAAATATTTGGTTTTGATTGGTCATAATATCGGTATCGAATTAGACTGTACTGTATAGGAGTGTTCAAACTCCCATTTTGTGCTCAAAATCAGTTCGTTCTCACCCTGAACTCATCCTGCTGGCATTGGTTTGTTGTTCAGCTAGGTGTGATTCACATTGTCTTCCTAAGTATCTTTGTTTTCCTCTCACTTTCAAAATTGTCTTGTTTGATCTTGTATTTTTCCTTACACAAATATTCTTGACAAGTATATTTTTGATAAGACTGTGTTTGGGATTTATTGTGTCAATATATATCACATAGTTCTGACATTTTTCATCATCTCATTGTATTGTCCAAAAACGATTAACTTCATTTTCCCAGTTCCTTTTTATTCTCTTCATTAGCTGGACCAGGTGATGAATACACTGATTATGTGGCAACACGATGGTACAGAGCACCGGAATTACTGGTTGGTGATACACAATATAGTACACCAGTGGATATATGGGCTATTGGATGCGTTGTCGCTGAAATGTTAACAGCTTTACCATTATGGCCAGGTCGATCAGATTTAGATCAGTTACACCTTATTACACAAACATTAGGTAAGTAAGAGATTAATTAGATTATGGGTCATTTTTATGTTGGTTGGTTGGTTGGTTTTTTTATATTTATGTAATCGTAGCTGATATTGTTTTCTCTTCAAGTAGAAAAAGACTAATTAAATATCTGCGATCAATGAAATAATGCAGAAATCACCAGTAATCTTTATTATCACTTACATAATATCGCAAAAATCTACTAAATTAAAAAAAATTGGGTAGTGAATTTTCAAGCAATCATTTAAATACATTATAATTGCAGTAAAAACTGAATTCTTAATTGTACACAGCTGAATGGTTCTAAACTGTCAGTTGAACGCCGGTTTATAAAAGTTCTCTTAAGGGTCCTTGAGTATAATTAAATTTAACTTTAAAATGAAGTAGTTTTCACAAAATTCCCATCTTCATTTCTGTCACTCACGGTGTCTAAGAGGTGATACTGATACATGTTCTTTCTACGAGCGAGCACAGCCACCTGTGAGAAAAACGGAGAGTGGGAAAGAAAGTTTATTTGGCTAAACCGAATCACATTTATGTGTACTCATCCATATGTATATATGAACGTATATGTTCATCGTTTAAGAAGTAAGCGATCAGTAGTTTGTATCCCGTCCATTAGAAAAAAGCTATTTCTCGGCTAATCACATGGACTTGTCGTTTAACCGATTTCTGACTGAGCCAATGTATCGCCTGGTTCAACTGAAAGCACTGGGATGCGTATAGGCCATTGGTAAGCAGTTATTGTACAGATTAATTGAAACCAATGTCATAATTTTTCACCGTATATTTTTTTTATTTCTATAGGTGATTTGGTACCACGTCACAGAGAAATTTTTGAGAAAAATTGTTTCTTTAAAGGTTATAAACTAGTCGTTCCTGAGAATCGTGTAAGTTTCACAGTTATTTAGCTCTATTTGGTTAACTTGAAAAGAGCAAGGAACAGCATTTTGAACAGAATAACAGCGATTCTTTTTATTTCGTCGCAGTAGGCCTTCATCAGCTGCAGACATTTTGTAATATTTATTTGAAAATAAATGAGTTACGAAATGAGTTCGGTTGAAAGTTATTGTGAACACACAAATCATTACCTAATCAAAAGGATTTAAAAGAATCAAGTTTTGGTTTTATTCAAATGTGTTCACATTTTCTTGTTTAGCAAGATTATTTCCTATAAGATAAAGTTTTATAAACTGTAACTGTTGAGAGCCCAATGGAATTAAATGGATTCTTTGTTCAAATTCTGTTTCAATTGTTGTTTTTGTTCATTTCAAATCAATTAAATGCACAATCGATTTGATCTACAAAATAGTAATGTGATACAATTTTTTGATAAAGAAATAAGTTTGTCATGTTCATTACGCTTTTAAGCCTGCTGAATGCTTAATTAACTAATGTTTTTAATATTGAAAAAATTCGAATCGAACGACATGTGCTGATATGCATTTATTCAATCCTCAAAATAAACGAAACTGATATATGAACACACTCATGTATTAAATTGATTTTATTAACAATTTATAATTAGTTGACTATTATTACAAACAAGTAAGGGAAATGCACACAACCACTACGATAGATAGTTCAAGCTACAAATCATACTGAATGAATTTCTACGGTGATTAATAGTTATAGTCAGTTAAAAAACAGACGTAATGTTGAACACAAGTTACGAAGAGGTCAAAAACATTATTTTACTCATTTACCCAGTCATATTACCTTCCCCTCTTGGATTCAACTAGAGACATTAGAATCGGTTCACATCAAACACTTCGTGTAAATAACATGAATACTAATTGTACACAGTAGGATATGCAACGGATGGACATTTCTAGCACTAGCCTTCTACACATTAGAAACCAATAACATTTGCAGAGACTGTTACAGTTGGTTTTCACTGTTCCTGATATCTATATCATGTGGTTAATATTACCTAGTTTTGTATATATTACTTATGAATACATGTCCCCATGATGCCGTCACTCACATCGTAGAGGTAATTGCAACTGAGACTTAGCAGGCAGTCTCTTAGTTATAACTAAGCTAACTTCAATTTATCTGCTATTGATCACCGACAGAATAATAGCCAGATTAAATGAATACTGTTCCAAGACGATTCACTTTATCTCCATATAGTAAATTCAAATCAACACAATGCACAATAAAAGAACAAAATTGAATGTAAGTACATTAAATTGACAAAGAAACTGTGACCTGGAGAGTAAACATGAGAAAGATTATTTCAATAAATGATATTAAAATTCAAAACTTCAAATATTGTACCTATTAAGAAAAAAATTCTTCGATAAAACTCTACTTGTCCAACAAATTCAATAAGTTTAAAATAACAGCTCATAAACGCTGCTCTCCAGAATCCAAAGTGTAGTCAAAGTGTAGCCTGCTTAAAGTTGCTCAGTATTTGAATAAACTCAAAATGTTCAGTGAGAAATAAACACAAGTATGATTGGTACAGTGAAGAGATTTCATTTCGATCAATTCATATTCATAAACTATACAATTGTAAACGTGCATACATTCTCTCTCATACGCTAATGCTTACAATAATCGTGGGGATAGGAAAAAAAATGTCTCTAAACATGCTAATTGTGCAACTAATTCCGATGAAAGGTGTACAATGTTATTTTGAGAGAGCTTCAATTATTCATTATGAAGATAGAGATAAATAAATTTTAACTGGAAATGGAAGAATTGAATGTGACATGATAAAATGTCCAAATTGAGATGACCTTGGATTTATTAGGAGCATAACAGAAACCGAAACAAATCAGTTGAAGGGTTAAAAGGTCTACCTACATAGAAGAAAAGACAGAAGGGA